TTCCTGATCGGATACGAATTGGCAGAGCTATGGCCATCGGAAAGAGCAAAAGTGGGGAAATCAGGAAAACCCAAAATTTTGCAGGGGTACCCCTAGGAAAAAATTCGAAAAATTTGAAAACGAGATTTAAGCAATATTTTGAATGAGGAAAGTCGCTTCTGAGTTCGCTGATTACTAAATGGTACTCTATTTCCTGATCGGATACGAATTGGCAGAGCTATGGCCATCGGAAGGAGCAAAAGTGGGGAAATCAGGAAAACCCACAATTTTGCAGGGGTACCCCTAGGAAAAAATTCGAAAAATTTAAAAACGAGATTTAAGCTATATTTTGAATGAGGAAAGTCGCTTCCGAGTTCGCTGATTACTAAATGGTACTCTATTTCCTGATCGGGTACGAATTGGCAGAGCTATGGCCATCGGAAGGAGCAAAAGTGGGGAAATCAGGAAAACCCAAAATTTTGCAGGGGTACCCCTAGGAAAAAATTCGAAAAATTTGAAAACGAGATTTAAGCAATATTTTGAATGAGGAAAGTCGCTTCTGAGTTCGCTGATTACTAAATGGTACTCTATTTCCTGATCGGATACGAATTGGCAGAGCTATGGCCATCGGAAAGGGCAAAAGTGGGGAAATCAGGAAAACCCACAATTTTGCAGGGGTACCCCTAGGAAAAAATTCGAAAAATTTAAAAACGAGATTTAAGCTATATTTTGAATGAGGAAAGTCGCTTCCGAGTTCGCTGATTACTAAATGGTACTCTATTTCCTGATCGGGTACGAATTGGCAGAGCTATGGCCATCGGAAGGAGCAAAAGTGGGGAAATCAGGAAAACCCACAATTTTGCAGGGGTACCCCTAGGAAAAATTCGAAAAATTTAAAAACGAGATTTAAGCAATATTTTGAATAAGGAAAGTCGCTTCTGAGTTCGCTGATTACTAAATGGAACTCTATTTCCTGATCGGATACGAATTGGCAGGGCTATAGCCATCGGAAGGAGCAAAAGTGGGGAAATCAGGAAAACCCACAATTTTGCAGGGGTACCCCTAGGAAAAAATTCGAAAAATTTTAAAACGAGATTTAAGCAATATTTTGAATGAGGAAAGTCGCTTCTGAGTTCCCTGATTACTAAATGGTACTCTATTTCCTGATCGGATACGAATTGGCAGAGCTATGGCCATCGGAAGGAGCAAAAGTGGGGAAATCAGGAAAACCCACAATTTTGCAGGGGTACCCCTAGGAAAAAATTCGAAAAATTTAAAAACGATATTTAAGCAATATTTTGAATGAGGAAAGTCGCTTCTGAGTTCGCTGATTACTAAATGGTACTCTATTTCCTGATCGGATACGAATTGGCAGAGCTATGGCCATCGGAAAGGGCAAAAGTGGGGAAATCAGGAAAACCCACAATTTTGCAGGGGTACCCCTAGCAAAAAATTCTAATAATTTAAAAACGAGATTTAAGCAATATTTTGAATGAGGAAAGTCGCTTCTGAGTTCGCTGATTACTAAATGGTACTCTATTTCCTGATCGGATACGAATTGGCAGAGCTATGGCCATCGGAAAGAGCAAAAGTGGGGAAATCAGGAAAACCCAAAATTTTGCAGGGGTACCCCTAGGAAAAAATTCGAAAAATTTGAAAACGAGATTTAAGCAATATTTTGAATGAGGAAAGTCGCTTCTGAGTTCGCTGATTACTAAATGGTACTCTATTTCCTGATCGGATACGAATTGGCAGAGCTATGGCCATCGGAAGGAGCAAAAGTGGGGAAATCAGGAAAACCCACAATTTTGCAGGGGTACCCCTAGGAAAAATTCGAAAAATTTAAAAACGAGATTTAAGCAATATTTTGAATGAGGAAAGTCGCTTCTGAGTTCGCTGATTACTAAATGGTACTCTATTTCCTGATCGGATACGAATTGGCAGAGCTATGGCCATCGGAAAGGGCAAAAGTGGGGAAATCAGGAAAACCCACAATTTTGCAGGGGTACCCCTAGGAAAAAATTCGAAAAATTTAAAAACGAGATTTAAGCAATATTTTGAATGAGGAAAGTCGCTTCTGAGTTCGCTGATTACTAAATGGTACTCTATTTCCTGATCGGATACGAATTGGCAAAGCTGTGGCCATCGGAAGGAGCAAAAGTGGGGAAATCAGGAAAACCCACAATTTTGCAGGGGTACCCCTAGCAAAAAATTCTAATAATTTAAAAACGAGATTTAAGCAATATTTTGAATGAGGAAAGTCGCTTCTGAGTTCGCTGATTACTAAATGGTACTCTATTTCCTGATCGGATACGAATTGGCAAAGCTGTGGCCATCGGAAGGAGCAAAAGTGGGGAAATCAGGAAAACCCACAATTTTGCAGGGGTACCCCTAGGAAAAAATTCGAAAAATTTAAAAACGAGATTTAAGCAATATTTTGAATGAGGAAAGTCGCTTCTGAGTTCGCTGATTACTAAATGGTACTTCATTTCCTGATCGGATACGAATTGGCAAAGCTGTGGCCATCGGAAGGAGCAAAAGTGGGGAAATCAGGAAAACCCACAATTTTGCAGGGGTACCCCTAGGAAAAAATTCGAAAAATTTAAAAACGAGATTTAAGCAATATTTTGAATGAGGAAAGTCGCTTCTGAGTTCGCTGATTACTAAATGGTACTCTATTTCCTGATCGGATACGAATTGGCAGAGCTATGGCCATCGGAAAGAGCAAAAGTGGGGAAATCAGGAAAACCCAAAATTTTGCAGGGGTACCCCTAGGAAAAAATTCTAATAATTTAAAAACGAGATTTAAGCAATATTTTGAATGAGGAAAGTCGCTTCTGAGTTCGCTGATTACTAAATGGTACTCTATTTCCTGATCGGATACGAATTGGCAAAGCTGTGGCCATCGGAAGGAGCAAAAGTGGGGAAATCAGGAAAACCCACAATTTTGCAGGGGTACCCCTAGGAAAAAATTCGAAAAATTTAAAAACGAGATTTAAGCAATATTTTGAATAAGGAAAGTCGCTTCTGAGTTCGCTGATTACTAAATGGAACTCTATTTCCTGATCGGATACGAATTGGCAGGGCTATAGCCATCGGAAGGAGCAAAAGTGGGGAAATCAGGAAAACCCACAATTTTGCAGGGGTACCCCTAGGAAAAAATTCGAAAAATTTTAAAACGAGATTTAAGCAATATTTTGAATGAGGAAAGTCGCTTCTGAGTTCGCTGATTACTAAATGGTACTCTATTTCCTGATCGGATACGAATTGGCAGAGCTATGGCCATCGGAAGGAGCAAAAGTGGGGAAATCAGGAAAACCCACAATTTTGCAGGGGTACCCCTAGGGAAAAATTCGAAAAATTTAAAAACGAGATTTAAGCAATATTTTGAATGAGAAAAGTCGCTTCTGAGTTCCCTGATTACTAAATGGTACTCTATTTCCTGATCGGATACGAATTGGCAGAGCTATGGCCATCGGAAAGAGCAAAAGTGGGGAAATCAGGAAAACCCAAAATTTTGCAGGGGTACCCCTAGGAAAAAATTCGAAAAATTTGAAAACGAGATTTAAGCAATATTTTGAATGAGGAAAGTCGCTTCTGAGTTCGCTGATTACTAAATGGTACTCTATTTCCTGATCGGATACGAATTGGCAGAGCTATGGCCATCGGAAGGAGCAAAAGTGGGGAAATCAGGAAAACCCACAATTTTGCAGGGGTACCCCTAGGAAAAAATTCGAAAAATTTAAAAACGAGATTTAAGCTATATTTTGAATGAGGAAAGTCGCTTCTGAGTTCGCTGATTACTAAATGGTACTTCATTTCCTGATCGGATACGAATTGGCAGAGCTATGGCCATCGGAAAGAGCAAAAGTGGGGAAATCAGGAAAACCCAAAATTTTGCAGGGGTACCCCTAGGAAAAAATTCGAAAAATTTGAAAACGAGATTTAAGCAATATTTTGAATGAGGAAAGTCGCTTCTGAGTTCGCTGATTACTAAATGGTACTCTATTTCCTGATCGGATACGAATTGGAAAAGCTGTGGCCATCGGAAGGAGCAAAAGTGGGGAAATCAGGAAAACCCACAATTTTGCAGGGGTACCCCTAGGAAAAAATTCGAAAAATTTAAAAACGAGATTTAAGCTATATTTTGAATGAGGAAAGTGGCTTCTGAGCTCGCTGATTACTAAATGGTACTCTATTTCCTGATCGGATACGAATTGGAAAAGCTGTGGCCATCGGAAGGAGCAAAAGTGGGGAAATCAGGAAAACCCACAATTTTGCAGGGGTACCCCTAGGAAAAAATTCGAAAAATTTAAAAACGAGATTTAAGCTATATTTTGAATGAGGAAAGTGGCTTCTGAGTTCGCTGATTACAAAATGGTACTCTATTTCCTGATCGGATACGAATTGGCAAAGCTGTGGCCATCGGAAGGAGCAAAAGTGGGGAAATCAGGAAAACCCACAATTTTGCAGGGGTACCCCTAGGAAAAAATTCGAAAAATTTTAAAACGAGATTTAAGCAATATTTTGAATGAGGAAAGTCGCTTCTGAGTTCGCTGATTACTAAATGGTACTCTATTTCCTGATCGGATACGAATTGGCAGAGCTATGGCCATCGGAAGGAGCAAAAGTGGGGAAATCAGGAAAACCCACAATTTTGCAGGGGTACCCCTAGGAAAAAATTCGAAAAATTTAAAAACGAGATTTAAGCAATATTTTGAATGAGGAAAGTCGCTTCTGAGTTCCCTGATTACTAAATGGTACTCTATTTCCTGATCGGATACGAATTGGCAAAGGTATGGCCATAAGAGGGGTCAAATCTAAAAAAAACTTAAGAAACAAATATTTTGAAACAGTTATTTTTAAAAGTGTGTTAAACTCATATCAATTAAAACATGGAATAAACGCACTGATTCATTAATAATAATCAATAATAATGAGTATACAATATTAAATGCAAATAATTTAAAACTATAATACTAAAAAGCGAACTAAATAATAAATATATTACGATCTCAATAACAAAGACGGAGAGAAATGGCTCCGTTGCCTAGGATGCTTTAAACATTTAAGGGTTTATTCAAGAGTCACCCGATGTACAGGTGGGTTAGAGGAAAGAGGTCTGGCTGGGCCAGCTTAAATGAACAATTATTTCTACGGATCCAGCTTCAGGTTTCCGGCTATAAAGGCCAATGCGGAACGCTGCTGGGGTAGGACCGTCTCAGTCTGGAGTCGTTGCTCCACAAGCGGAATGCAGGTGAAGAGCGGAGCCGACTGCTCGGGAACGATGCGGAAAGCGACACGACGCCAGGTGCTACGCACAGCCTCCAGGCGATCCTCTTCGAGAGCTTCACGCATCCCGGTCAAGTCCGAGGCCTTTGCCAGAGACAGGAGCTTGGCAATGGCCAGACAAAGCTGTTGCTGCAGTGCGTCACGGTGATTGTACTCCTCAAAACTGTCCAGGGCATTGGAGCGCTCTAGCGCCTCCAGTATCGAACGCCACACCAGCGCAAAATGATTTCCTATGTCCTGGCGCTGCTCCAGCTGAAGGAGGACAGCCGTTGCGTTAATGCGAACCTTAAAGTTTGCGTGTTGGACAATGAGTTGACTCAGGGCAGGGAACAGGATGCCCGCTAGGTGGTTGGTGGCGAAGAAGGCTCTGTGCCGCACCAGATTCCCGATGGCGTGGCAGGCATTCCACTTGACCTTTGCACTGCTGACATTTTTCACGCAATCCAGAAGCTTGGATATGGCTGCCTGCATCTGCTCGAAGTTCTCGCCCGGCTGCAACTGGAGGACCTGGAGGAGATTGCCCAAGGAGCGCACGGCATTGGCCTTGACCTTATCGTGGTCGCCGCAACTTAGAGAGGCCGCCTGAATGAGGCGTCCTAGGAGCTCCTCGGATATCCTTTCCGAGTGTAGGGTAACGCCGCCGAGTAGGGCGTCGCTGATATTTCCCAAGGCCCAGGCCGCCTTGGTGCGCACCACCAGCTGAGTGTCGTTCACCAGATTGAGTGACAGCTCCGCCGCGTTCTCCACAAAGACCAGATCCCCCTTTAGGGACGGATGCAGAACATGGACGGCCATTGCCCGGAGAGCAGCAGCTCTGACTAGCGGCTCCTCGGCATCGTCACTAGCACAGCCGCTCAGGAAGGCCAGCAGGGCATTCCTCTGGCCCAGGGACAGTCTCTCAAACGTGTATGTTCCAATGTTCGATAAGGCATCGCAAAGGGCGCACTTCAGGGATGCGCCGGCTGCCTCGTCATAAGCCTTGTAGATAACTGGGAGTAGGGATAGCCAAAAAGATAGCTGCGATTCCCGCTCTGACGACTCCGGCACAAGTCTGCCCAGTTGATAGCCAATGGAATCCAGGCAGCGTGCGGCATACAATCGCACATCGAAAGTGGCATCGCCTAGTCCTGACATTATCACTCTGCAGAGCCGAATTTGGTGCCCACGCAGCAGGCCTATGTGCGTGCCCATGGCCAGGAGCACCTGGAAGCACTCTACGCGTATGGGTGGCGCTGTGCCCAGACTTTCCAGGTATCTCAACACCTGTCGGAGTAGCCAAGAGTTTCGGGGAATTGGAGGAAGTGCTGCATCCGCTGAAACCGCCACCTTTTGTTGTTCACTTTGCTCTAAATGTTCCTCCATTGCATCCTCTTCGAGTTCCACCTCTGCGTCCGAGTCCAGAAAGTCCTGTTCCGAACCCTGTACATCGTCCATCTGAAGATTTCGTTGATTTGGCGAGAGACCCACAGCACTGGCCATCTCCGGGGTTAGTCGTGGCGTGGACAGTAGCATTTCCATGACTAGAAGGGCAGAAACTACCACGGGAATATCTCCGTTTTTGGCCAGCTTCTTCACGTGGCCCACAAACTCGTAGACGAAGCCCATTTCCAGCTGCTCAAAGGGCGTGGCCTGAACCAGAACCGCCAAGCATTTGAGGCACTGTGTCAGGACTGGTGGGGCGAACTCTCGTTCCAAGATGCCGCTCAGGCATCGATACGAGCTCATCAGGGAGCTGGCCAGGCTCATGGCGAAGGGCGTGTAGTTACTGGGTCCCTTGGAGCTGGCCTGGCTCAGGAATGACTTGGATCCGTATAGAATTTGAGCAGCTAGTTGCAATGCAACGGCTCGACATCGGGCATTGGAGTCGGTGTGTCCCAGGCGCAGCAGATGACCGTTGGTAGCTCCATTTTCTCCGCTGGGAAATAGAATGTGCCAATATCCGTACAGGGAACGACGGGGCAGATGCTTCGCCAACGATCCTAGGAGATGCAGGGCGGATATTCTCACTTTGGCCTGAAGATTGCGCACTTGCCGCATTCCCGACATTTGTGGGTCTCCCGCCGAGTCCGAGACGGGAAAGTTCTCACCCGAATCTCCAGTTAGGCAGCCATAGTCCAGGTGCCCAGTTAGTAGCAACCGGTCCCTGGGATTAGTCTCCAGAGTTTCATTGGTTGACTGATTCCGTTGCCGGGCCAGAGATCGCATCTTTCGCATCTTGTTCTTCCGCCCGCCCGTCCGTTGTTTGTGGATAGGCTGCGGCTCCGGCTCGAGCTCGTCGTCCTGACCATAGGCTGCCGACTGTTGGGCTGGCTGCACCCTCCGAGGGGCTTGATTCCGGGCCGACGCTTCACTTTCAGTTCCGAACAGCATATAGGTTTGGACCAGACCCATTAGTTCCGGGACATGTTGAGCAGCAAAGTCCGGCTGCTTGGCCACAATCCGTTGCAGCAGATGCAAAGAGTGGGAGAGCAGTAGCGACCACTGATCTTCTTTGGAGTTATCCAGCCAAAAGCCATCGAAAAAGTTACGGATAAGGGTATTGGCCAACTGACGGCTGCAATTTCCATCAGTATCACCGTCGTCTGACTGCTCCAGATCGGCGAACACGAGATCCTGACACTGAACGACCACAACAGCGCGGCTAACATCGTTGGAGTACGGAAAAGACGCCAGTTCTGTCCAATAAAGACGAAGTTCCTCCTTTTGCAGAGTTTTCAGCACAGTCAGGATCAGATTGAGCTCCACTGGGGTCTTGTCCAGCTGTATACCATTCAGTAGGCACTGTAGGAGGAACTGTGGTCTTACCAGGATCACCTTTCTGGTGAGGATCAGTTCGTTTAGCAACAGCTGCCAATTCCGCAACAGGTCGCTGTGGCCTCTCGCTCGCACCTCCTCCAGCCACAGGCCCAGTCGTTCAGCGGCCACACCCACTGGAATGCCATGCGGATGACGCAGTTCCTGGATAAAGACCACATAACGCTGCCGAGTATCCTCGTCCAATTCAGAGTTGTCCAAGATATTTTGCTGAATGGTATCCAGCATGTCTCTGTCCTTTTCCATGGCGCCTGTTACTGTTGGTGTGACCGTCTCACAGTAAGGAAAATAAACCATCTGCCAGAAAGAAATTGGTATTTTCTTTAGTATTTTTGTAAATGGAGGGAAATTCAAATAAGAAATGGGAAATTTTAATGTAATTGATTTTTAAAAAATAATAATGGATGCTGTGCCTCGAAACCGTAGGAGGGGTATTATTTTAAAATTATTAGATCGTAATTTTTCAAGAAATTGGAAAATACTCACATAAAAATGTACAAAATATTTAAAGAAACTTAAACTTTGTTTTATACTTTTTTTTTTATTTAACCAAACATTTGGAACAGATTCATTTATATTTGGAAAGTAAAACATTAATTGAAGCATCATCTATGGGATGGCTAGAATCCCTGGATAAAACTAAACGCGAGCTGCACCAAGAAACTGGGACCAACACCGAAATAATCACGGCGAACCCAATATATATTACAATTACAATTACACGGGATAGACGAACGAAAGCAATTTGAACTGGCCGCGAGCCAGGCCCCGAATATCAATCGTACAATATCATACATCTATATAATATATATAACACATCGAATAGTCCCTGAGCTAAACGATGAAACTGGGGCGGGAACGGGAACGGGCAGCTCCCGGGGCTTGCCTCGCGGTCTTCCCTAGTCCTATCTATAAAGTATATTGTGTATATGTCTCTATAATCGTAGATATATATATAATGTCTGTATAAACATGTATAATGCAATGCAGGCGGGCTTCTTCTAGTTTTCAAAAGGCGAGGGGGTGGGCGAGGAAATTCATGTAAAGTCTCGGGGGATTTGTACAATTTCACTTTGTTGTTCGCCTTTTGAGTACAGATTGAAGTCTTTTTCGATTTTTGGGAAACACATGTCGTGACAAATATCGTGAGCTGGTATAGAAATAGATTATACTATATATATATATATATAGAAATATGTAGAGGACTATCGCTAGTAATATCAAGAGTTAGAGATAGAGAGACATGAGCACACGCACAGTTTGAATCTTTGGCAAGACCGCAGATACTGATCACAAGAATCGTTTCGATTTAGTAAGTTTCCCTAAAGCTACAATACACACCTACTCGTACTCGCTTGAAAAAAAAATTTGGCTAACTTTGGAGCACTGGCCCATGGGCTGGCAATTTCGAATACCTGTCTGTTAAGTACTCTAAACTCTATGGTCTAAATTCGCTGTTTTTCATCCGCTACTGGCCCTGCTCCTCGATGACTCCCGTCTGTCCAGGATACAGGTTCACCAGTATGGCATAGTAATGGCATGCGGCGGCTAGCACCACAAAAAGATGCCAAATTGCATGGGCCATTGGTATCAGGCCGTCCGCCTTAAAGAATATAATGCCCAGAATATAGAAGGCACCTCCAAACTTGAGCTGCAGCATTCCGTGAAAGTGGTGGCCAGTGAGAACCACTACCAGGGCCGGGCCCAGACCCATTACCAGGTAGAAAAACGTCTCCAAGCACTTGTAGCGTTCGTGGAAGAGCTACAAAGAGTAATTATAGAAGGGAATCGGAGTTGTAACTCTAATCCTCACCTGCTGGTAGGCTATTCCGATGCCAGCCATCAGCCAGATGACCCATTCCATGCAGAACAGTATTGTGGATTGATCCGTGTTCTCCAGGGTCAGCCAGGGGAAGTAGGAGCCAGCTATGAAGACATAAATCATGGCCCTGTCGCACCGATGCAGCACATTCTTGAGGCTCTGGTACGTCTGCCAGCCAAGAGTGGGCCAAGCCTTTACATTTTTGGGCGGTCTGTTGGAAGATACAATTCGGAGGCTCATAAAAAAGGTCGACACCTGGTTGAATTACAACTCACTTGTGCTCGGCGCAGTAGCATGAACAATGGAAGAAGGTCGATACTGTGAAGAGCATACAAAGGGCGCCACCGTACACCCAGGACACCAAATACTGGCCAGCACTGGTGGAGCGTTCGAAGAGCTTAATTGCCGCAAACACGGCTGGCACAATCCAAATCCCGTGTGTAATCACATTGGCCACCTGCTCGATCTGTCGGGGTTCAACAAATATAGTCGAAATGGGTCTCACACACGTCCTCACGTTACTCACCTCAGTGGGCTGGTAGGCGCAACCCGGTTTGGCCTTGGCATTCTTCCACTGGACATTCCGCAGCTGCAACTTGAGCCTCGAGTTCGACTTGATAATGGATTTCCAAAATTTGCTAAACAGGTTCTCCAGGAAGGAGTACTTCTGCTGCAGGTCCTGCATCAGGCTGAGGTCCCCATTGCCGACGCTGGCGCTCCCATTTCCGTTGCTCATTGTGGACAGACTGCGGATTAGATTTCAAATTGGTTGTCCGACTCGTAAAATTGATTGATTACCGCGCCCCCGTCCCACCCACTTGCGGGCCAAATGTCTGCGGGCTAAACCACCACCCACGCCCCCTCGTTTTATGGCCAATTGATTATCATCCGAGCCACGACGTCTCGGCGGCTTATCTTACTGCGTCGGCGGAGGGGGCGGGGGGTGGGTGCGACAAGTGATAAGCACTTGACGGCAAATGCCTGGACAATGGCTCTTGCCCTCTGAGAGATTCCCCCTTTCCCGGCAGGCAGTGTGCCAATTTATGTTCGTTTAGGTGATGCATACAAAATGCGCACACAATGGGCCAAGGCTGATGGTTTCTGACCCGCCATTGAAACCAGTTCTGATTCTGATTGGCGGTCGCTTATCTCGCGTGCTCCGGTCTTGGCTCAAAGTCCAAGTCCCAAGAGCATTGGGGTCTTCCAGAGACAGGCGAGGTCTTCCCACTTGGTCACAGACAGGGTTTTCAACAATTATAGCAAATATTTGTAACGAATTTCTTAAAAAATACTCCAATTTATGGTTACTTTTATGGAATTTTTAACAATTTCAATTAAAAAATGATTAACAGGCATTATGTTTCTGATATTTTCACAGGCTTATTCTTTAACTATCCTTAAGATATGTTTTTTTTTTTTAAACACTTTGGGTGAAGATGACCAGACAAGCTTATCAAAATCAAGAAAATACTACCTTAATATCTAAATATGCTAACACAATCTTCTCACTTCCGAAAAACCTATATTTTTCTCTAGAAGTTTGTTAAGAAAATGAAAACTTTCCAAGCACCTTATCGTCGCTTGAATGAAAACCAATAGGCAGGAAATTATTTTCGGCAGAAGGTAGTGGTGCCTGTCCCCCGAAAGTATGCTTCATTTCCCACGTCAGCCCACACGGCTTACGGGAGGCAAACATAACGGATGCCCACCCCACCGAAACTTTATCACCATAACGACTATGCTAATCGTTACAAAAATAGCCCAATGCCTTCAGCATTCCTTATATATTGGCAATTACCGAACCAGCAGGTGGGGTAAGGTGGTGCACAGCAAGAAATTCTATGTCTAACATCCCCCAAAAATACTAAAGGATTCTTTTCAAATTTTCAAATCTCGAGGCAGGTTTCAAAACTATGTGGAATATATCTCCCAGTATCTATATGATATTATATTCTTTTTCTTAATTTTGAAAAGTGTTTGAGAATCTTTGGGGCTTTCCAATTTTTATCAGTGTCTAGGAGACGGAAGATTGTTTACATCTCGCAGTGAGAACCAGTGGCACGCTAATCCAATTTGCTCGGCTCGCGTCACGCAATTCGGCCATGCAACAACCTGTCCGGCGGCGCACTTGTTCTCCCATCTACCTGTCCAATTTCCCGACTTAATTCAACCCCCGCCTCCCGGAAAATATGTGCGAGGGAAACTTACAGCGTTTATGTTTTTGTTATTGTTAGTGCTGTGGAAGCGGATGCTGGGCCTTCCAGGTGGGAACGGGGCAAGGTTGCCTGGCAGCCTCACGTGACGGCACGAAGCGGGAATCCCACGCAGGACATCGCTGCAGCAGGCACAGTACTTGGATCTCGAGAAGATTTCGTTAAAAACAACGTCCGCGCTCACGGCTGTGGAATCTGTGAATAGAGATGGCGAATCAGGCGATAGTTCTACAAGGTGAAATATTACATAGATATCGATAAGTTGTTAGAGATGGTGTCGGTGCCCGCTGAATTTGAAATTTGAAAACAATCGAATATATAGTCGATAACAGACGGATCTTTGGTCAAGATCGTTTAAAAGTTCAATTCGAAAGCTGCTTATTAAACCACCAATCAGGTACGTTATGAAATATAACTCAATAAAGTTTTGCATTTGGTATTATTACTTGCCTAGTCGAATAGTGCTTGTTCTATACTTATATGACCAACCGAATAAGGACAATTTAAAGCATAATCGCAAGATTGATTAAAAACTTAGTTGATTTGAACAAACAATACTTTTAAGTGAACATAGTTTATTTGTTTGTTTTGTGGTTTAAAATTGGCCACCTCAACGACCGATACCACCAGTAGCCTCGACCATCACTAGGTTCATCGATAGCGATAGCGACGAGAAGAAGAAATCGAGAAAACGTGTGTGATAAAGGTGTGTGACCTGCCAAAAGCGCCAAATTCTTGCTAATATCTAACGATTTCCGTCCATTTTTCAAACAGAACTAGCAGGTCAGAATGTCTGGACGCGAAGGCGGTAAAAAGAAGCCACTGAAGGCCCCCAAGAAGGAAGGCAAGGACCTGGACGAGGACGATTTGGCATTCAAGGCAAAGCAGAAGGAACAGCAGAAGGCTATGGAGGCCGCCAAGGCGAATGCCTCCAAGAAGGGACCCCTTGTCGGGGGTGGCATCAAGAAGTCGGGCAAGAAGTGATAGTTAATCTCTCCCGGATGGACGCAGCCGCAGCATTTTCATACAAGTCTAAACGAAACAAATGAAACAACCCTATATGTACTAAACTAAATTGAATGTGCAGCCAGTTCATGGTTCTTTTTTATACTTACGATTACCATTAAATAGATCATTGTACGTGATGCGGAATGAGGTGTATTCTATTCTGAGAAAGAGTCTAACACATGGTCTCACTTCTACGCTTCACTGCAAACTATACATATGCTGTTAAGGTTTGATTATCTGGCCGAGATTTATTGGAAAGTAAGTACGAGGGAAGGCAGCCTCAGCATCCCTCACACCTTGGGCTTAGGCGCGCGGAAAACTGGACTGAGTTCCTGGCAACTGGACGGACTGGGAGGCCACAGAACAGGCGGCTGCCACTTGTTCTGTTAGTTTCTTTTCCGGAAAACGCGCCAAATTGTGGGCCAGAGCTCCGATGAAGGCATCACCAGCTCCCGTGGTGTCTACCACCTTTTCTGCAGGCACGACGGGCGCCTTTACATGATCAAAGACACCTGGCTTCGTTTTGGAACCAATAACAGCGCCCAGTTTTCCCAGGGTTATGATTACTATGTTGGCTCCCAAGCGGATGAGCTCACTGGTGGCTGTTTGGGCTTCTCTGAAACGGAAAGGGAATCATCTAAGGCTCTGAAGAGGCATGCAGGCTCACTTACTCAATGGTCTCGATGCTGGGAACCTTGGTCATCAGGGCCGCCTCACTTTCGTTCACACAGAAGATGCTGGCCAAGGTGAGAAGCTCCTTCGGCGTGTTCTCCATCGCAGGAGCAGCATTTACAATGGATGTGCCTTTGAAGGCTTTCAGGGCCGTTATGGTGGCCTCGATGGGTGTTTCCAGCTGGCAAACCAGAACCTTGGCCTCCTGGAACAACGAATCCGCAGCAGCCACATCGCACGACTTGAGGGAATTGTTGGCTCCCACCACAATGATGATGTTGTTCTCGCCTCCGTCGGAGACTCCGATCTGTGCCACACCTGTAGTCTGATCCTCCAGCTGCTGGACATGCTGCACATCAACGCCCTCCGACTGGAGATGCTTCAGGTAGTCAGTGCCGAAGCTATCCGCACCCAACTTGGCCACCAGGGCTGTGCGGGATCCTTGGCGAGCCGCAGCCACACACTGATTGGCCCCCTTGCCGCCGTATCCGGTCTGGAAGCGATGTCCATGAAGCGTTTCTCCGGGCTTCGGCAGGCGGGGGGTGTAGCTGGGGAGTGGGAAAAGCATACATAGTTTTATTAAAATTCTAGAAGACTAGGATATGATCCTCGATTTTGCTGCCTTCACTCACCAAATAAAGTCTATAATGGCAGAGCCAAAGACAAGCACTTCGATGGGCTTCCTTGTGGCCATTTTTCCGCTCATCTCGTTAGCCGCTTTCGATGCAGTTCCAATTACTGGCAAATGAATTTATTTATATTTTCTCCGGGTGAGCAAGTGGTCTGCTTATCGCCGGAATGAGTGCTATAATGTGACCCGGCTAGAGGACAGGGGCAAGGGCAAGGGCAGGAGCGAGTTAACCTTATCAGCTAGCCACTCCACTCATGGCCAAAAGCGGGGGGCCAGTGGGTGGTTTGCAACTCTCCGCAAATCTTTGATAAATTTTGAAAAAAAAGACACAAATCTAAGACCAAAAGCTGCAAGGTAAAAAATACCAAATATACCAAAAAGTACAGGGTGCTCTTTTCATTTTTTTTTTAATTTTAAAAAATTTACTTAAATATGGTTTTACTTTTTTGTTTAAAAACAAACTGGAAGGTGGGGAGTTAGGCTTAAATAAAAAATAATTAACTGATAAATAGTCTTAAGCATTATGGTTTTAAAATAAAATGTCTAAAACCTATTAGTTTTTTAAAAAACTAAGGTTTTGAGTTTAGAAAAATGATTTTTTTAAAGAAACTTTGTAAAACCCATGCCACTTTTTTAAAGAATACAATTCTTATATTAAAAATAAATAAATTACCATTTCACACACACAATACCTCAATTAAAAAGAGACAGCAAAACCATTAGATAAATCATAAACTTTATTTTAATTATACATAATACAAATAGAACGATTTGGCTGGCCATGTGACAAAATAATGGACCAAACGATTTTATACCTATTATATTGGGAGAATCGCGGCGGAGTGAAGAAATGGATGTGTGAGGGAATCTATTGGGGATGGACCTGGATTTTGGACTGGGACTGGAGTTGGAGTTTCATTGTGATTTCTTGAGATGTGGGTGTGGAGTTGGGGGACATAACACAAGGGTTCCCGCTCTAGGAGTATAATTAGAATTATAAAGCCTGGCACTGAGCACACGCTGGCTTCTACCAATTTACAATTGTTTCTTGTTGTTTTAAATGTTAGCCTACAACTAACGAGCGTTTTTCTTTGCATTTCATTACTGTTTTAGTGGTGTTTTGGGTTTCTGTTCTTCGACGGCAGCCTGACATCCGTTTCCGGTCCGAAGGGCTTCCTCCAAAACCTTCGATATGGCTGGCCGCCGACTATTTTGTTTTTATATTTTTTTTGTTTGTAAATCTTCGCTTTTGCAGTGTTATGTTGTCTTCGGAGCGTTCAGTGATCTCTTCCAGTGGTCTTCTTCCATTCCTATCCTTATTTTCTTCTCCCTTCTCCCTTGTGGGCTAATCCTGCTTAGACTCTATATTGCGACTCGCGGCGGATGGAGATGTGTATGTGTGTGTGTGAGAGAGTTTTAGATATTAAACGTTCATCATCTACATTCTAGATTCCAGCTCGTTCCAAAGCACTCAGCTGATTGCCCAGGCGCTCCTCCTTGGCTTTGCGCTCGGCGCTGATCTTCTTGGAGCTCTGGTAGGTATTGAGGAACGTCTGCACATCGATTTTCCCATTCAGAAAGTGCTCCACATGCCGATCACAGTCGGCATCGGCATTGGAGGCCGCTATCTGAAGGAGCTCCTAAAAAGAATTCATTGATAAGTGATGGATTCTTCAAAGAATTGAAACTGGTATTGCTATGTCCAACAGTTCTTTCTAAAATTCCAGTTAACCCAGGTCCGATAATGAATCTACATAACTGAACAAATGTTTCGGGCTAAGAATGCCACCTGATTTAAATGGAATTTAAGAAATGTGGACAGCTGCACAATGGAATTCGATGACTGGAGGGAGTGCATATCCACTCTTTGGAACGACAGGACACTCACTCTGATGTGCTGCGGTGCATACTCCTCGGACTTTTTCAAATACTTCTTGTTCAGCTGATCGCACTTCTCGCCCAGAGTCTTTAAAGCAGTGTAGTCATCGCTGAGGCGTCGCTTCAGCTCCACCAAATGGGTGCCTTTGCTCTCGTTCTCCCCTGGAATCGTGTCTAAGGATTAGGATTAATTCTTCTTGATAGGTTGACCTGCTGGCAGTTACTTACTTGATATATTTTCCACCTGGTTCATCATCGAATCGAGCTCCTCGTTGAGATGCTGCACCACGGACATCTCCTCGATGAAGTCGTCGAAGAATTCAGGATCTCTGTCCAACTGTTTCAGTTCATCCAGCGACAATGTGGACAGATTGGGCATGTTGGCACCCTCCTCCTTCCCCTTCATGGGTTCACCATTGTCCTGCGGCTGGCCTTGTCCTAGTCCTTGGCTGGGGCCTTGGACGTGATGACCCTGGGGCGAGTGTTGGGTGGTGGGCATCCTGTTACGCTCGAGCTACCGTTACCGTTTCCGATTCCTATTCCAGTTCCAGTTTCCAATAGCTGTGTGCGTTAGATCAACTAGGAATTTACATTGTGTCAGGCCTACTCACCAACACAGCTAACTCAATCCACACACTTACTTGGTTTTCTCCAAATGCCAAATCGTCTCAAGGATTCCAAACGCCTGGGAGCCTCCGCCTGTGACCTCCGGGTGCCAGGACCCCAGCTAGCTAGCCAGCTAAGCTTCCAAGGACTACGCCGCGAAAATTGCGCAGTCTGTCGCTGCGATTTGTAAAGTTCCTGAACTTTCTGTATCGGTTTCTGTCTCCGCCGTTTCGGTTCTGTCCGGCTGCTCCCCGCTCCGTTCGCCCAGCTCCTGGGAATGCACGGAATCTGTCCGGTTTATTGGTATTTCCTTCCTGGTCGGCCTGCTGGTGACTGATTTCTGATTTGTGCCAGTGGTGCGTTGGTTTCGCTTGCCCCGATCGGAGTTTCATTATCTTCTGTTCTGGCGGCGCAACAACAACGTTCGCCTGCTCACAAAGCACCGTTGTTGGTTGACTCGGCTGTTAGGACAGGGTTGCCAGCCCACCCTCTAGTTCTTAACCCTCCCGTGAAGGTCGTTGGTACCGAAATCAATATTTTATTGATTCAAATATTATTTTGAAGCTTAAATCTCGTGAAATGCTTCCATTATTATATCTCAAACGAGAGTTATATAGGAGAATTGTATTTTTTTTACATTTATAAAACCTTTTTTAATGTTATAATTTATAGGGTTATGAGGAATTAACCTTTTTCTATTGAATACCGACGAATTTTTTCAAACGCATATAATCTTTTGCTTTTCAACCCCCTTGGCACGCTGAGGGTTAAACAGAATGCCTTCAAAACGACTTGACAACCCTGTCACTTACCGTCAGCTGTTCGGACTCCGTTTTTGTTTACCATTTTAGTTTCGAGCGGCTGCTTTTATATAACATTTAGCAAATAACAGTGTTTACTGGCGAAATGGCGTTGTTCGAGATGAAGTGGCTGCGTCGCCTGGTACGGCGCCACACGAATCCCATTCCAGAGCATCGGGCGGAGATGTGGAAGCGGCGTTTGAGCATCGGATACGCCATCCTGGCCTGGCAGGCGTTCGGCCTGGTCTGCTACATGGTCTACACCGGCAGGAACGATTGGGCCAAGTTCTATGGCTACAAGACAGAGGAGGATCTGGCTCTGTCACCGGCCCAGCAATTCGCCAGGCACCTGAACGTCGAGGGAACGGGCAAAATCATCCGCTTGTCCGGCTTCAAGAAGGTGGAGGAAATTCCTTTCGACGCCAGCGAGGCGAAGCGAGTCAACGAGTAGCTGGAAGGCTGATTAGCTCATAGTTTAAGGTATTTTTTTTGAGAAAAGCTTTGTTACTTACCAATAAACTGTATGAATTACACATTTTTTTGTTTATTTGGGAATGTCTCCACCATTGGATGGGGCCACCTTTGGATGGGGATGGATTAATATGAACTATGTATTAGTTTAAACTCGTACCTGCCTTTAGGGTTCACCTCGTATCCATTTAGTAAACAAATAATTCCGGCAATTGTGTTTCCCGCGTATGTTTTGGTTTGGTATTAGTGGTGGCATGCCAAACAGGCCAGATGTTGTGCTATCGATAACAGTAAATCGATAAAATAGCAAGAGAGGCTCTTACAAAAGGTTTTCTTTAAATATTCTTTTTATTTTTTAAAAGATAAAGATGAAATAAATATATTTAATACACGCAGATACTTAAAAAAACAGTATACTATCTTTAAGGTGACTACAACCTTGTTATCGATAAATGCATCGAGCGATGACCATCACTAGGGCGACGCGACCGCGGCAAACACAAACAAAAAGCAGCGCGTCGCGGATGGTTCGGCCACGAAAGATAACAATATTTACGGGCAAACAACAACAAAAACAAACGTAATAACACTTGGCGGTGATAATAGCAAGCCTTCGGATCAAGTCCTTAGACCTTACGTCCTTCGCGTATCGGTGATTGCAGCCGAGATAGCTTTTGGCATCTCTTGTGTGACAATAAGAAAAAAAAAACAACAAATCGACAGCAGCAACAGCAGAGCCAGTTGCAGCCATAAAAAAAAAAAAACAGCATCCCAGTCTAGACCGAAGCAAACGCAGTTTTAATTGTAGCAAAAAACTTAAATGAATATTAATTGCCGAGGTCATCAGCGGTGCTCCTCCCCACCACCTACCTCCTCCTCCTCCTCCTCCTCATCCTCCTTTCTCTGCAATCTCTCTCCTCTCCTTGTTTCATGCGCGCTACTCTCTTCTAACTGCACTCTCCGCGCGTCTGTAAAATAACGGGACTGACGGCGGCGGCCCCAAAGCCCCAACAACAACAACAGCAACAACATCAAATGGCATTTGCAGTCGTCTAATTGGAATTTGTGCAAAAAGAAGACGAAGGAGGAGGAGGAGCAGAAGGAGAAGGAGGTGGTGGAGAAGAAATACCAAAGAGCCGCAAAATAATTGCTAATTAGTTGCATTTTTCCATTGTTGCAAGGCTTCGGCAACGAATTTCTAATTACTGTTGCAACTGCCACACACAAAAACAACTGCACTCGCAGCTGTTGCCTCTCTACTCTTGTTGTTGTTGTTGTTGTTGTTGCATTAGTTTATGATTCTGTTTTTGGATGCATTTTCTTACAATTTTTTGTTGTGTTTCTCTGTGTTTTTTTTTATAGAAAAGTGTGTGTGGCAGGCAGTAAAGGTCAAAGGTGCAAATGCCGCTCTAATACATAAATTACAAAAACAACTGCAACATCAATTTCCTCAAGGGACGCAAAAAAAAAAGGGTGAGTGAAAAAAAAAATACAAAAAAAAAAAAAAGAAAAGTTGCTGCCTCTCGCTAGTTTCGAAAACTATTAAAAGCGCATTAATTATATAATTCGGGGAAGTGAAACTTCCACTTTCTGCTTCTAAGCCAGCAACAATAACACATCAATAACCCCAACAGACAAAAAAAAATGACTAAAAAAACAACAAAAACAACGGCAAAATGTGAACCATCCAACAAAGAAACTTACAACGCGGACCAGAAGTGAAAGAAGCAGAAGTCGCGCATAAATATTTATATTATATAGCAGCGATATATAGCGATAGCGATGGAGGAGCGATGGAGTTTAGAAAATAGAGTCAAGAGTGAAAATGAAACCGTTTTCTAAAAATAATTTATTGTCAACACTCGCAAGCATTTCTATTTAAAAAAAAAAGAATAAATAAATAAAGAAATAGAAAAAATAAAAGCGGCTTCTTTATAAAAAGCAGGAAAGTGTCCAAACATATGGCCGTCAGACTCCCCAAAAACATGTGTAATATTAAAAAACAGAATAAGAGATAGGGGGTATTAAGATACCCTAACTAGAGAGAGGTCTTTAAAAAAAGGTCATTGTATGGGGGAGGTTTTTAGAAGCCCCTTAAGAGTCCCTAAATATTCATAAAGAAACAAGAGCTAGGAGTTCTAGGGTATCTTGAAATACCCTTACTAGAGGGGTCTTAAAAACAAAACGTTATTATAATGGACAGTTTTTCTAATTTTTGGGAGGTTTCTTGGTCATTAGGTTGATCTTTAAAATATCTAAGAGTCCCCTAATATTTATAAAGAAACAGGAGTGGGAGATCTTGGAATACCTTCTCTAGAAAGAAGTCTTTAAAATAAAGGTCATTATAATAGGCAGTTTTTAGAAGTTTAGGGAGGTTTTTTTTAGTCTTTAGGTTGATCTTTAAACTAGATCTAAGCGTCCTTTAATGGTTATACAAATGAAAGCTAGGATATCTAAAGAATACCCCTGGAAAACCCTTAACAGGGAGCTATAAGATACCAGATACCAGGACCGTTATAATGAACTCTTTTAAGAACTTCAGGGAGCTATTCTTTAAACTGATCTTTAAATAAACTCTTAAATGAGAGCTAGGATATCTAAGAGATCTTGGAGAGCTATAGAACACAGATTAGTATAGTTTTTTTTTTAAAAGAAACTTTAGAAAGCTATATATTCCTTTATTATAGCTTCTATTTTTTCTATAGCTATTATTATATGTATCTTTGGAGTTGATCTATAAATTAGCCCTTGAAATACTTTAATAAGTATAGCTGGAATATTTTAGAGACCTTAAAAACCTCTTGACACCTTAATATTCAATAAAAATTATATAAGAGATCTTAAAAAGATCTCTATGTTCTCTAATATTCTCAAATAAAAAATAAAAGAATATATAAAAGTTCTTAAAAACCCTTACCAAGGAACTGTAGCAAACCAGATCATTATAATGATCTGATCTAGATCTATAAACTATACTCAAGAAAACTCCATTATATTTCAATAAACACCATCCTAAATCATACTCTAACAAAATACAACAAATCCAAGACCTTTCCATACCTTAAACTCCCTTTATTGCAAGGGTATGTACAAGAAAGACCATTATAATAGGGCCTTTTGAGATCATATCGTATGCAAATTAGGGTATGAGATGTCTCGGTTATCTGACTACCATTTCGCTTCTCCCGACGTATGTATGTATGTATGTATGAGTGTGTGGCTTAATTAATAGAGTTATTGCCGTCAGAGCCTAACCACAAGATAATATATAATTGCTCAACCGATTCGACTTTGATCATATCACACCATTTGGGATGATTCTTCTGCTACTACTGGCTTACAGGGTTACCAGGGTGCCAGGGTTAGTTCCCTGGATAGTCTTTTTTTATGGTTTCGATTATGTCATAGTTTAGAAACACCTGGCTGGCTGGCTGGGTGGCTGGCTGGCTGGCAGACAGGCCTTGAATTATTACGCACTCTTCTTCCCAGATCGTTAATGCACTTTTTTCCCACATCCACCGATATGCCCCGTCCGATAATATAATACCCACTAGGTGGCTATAGAGCGTAGCGCAGATTTCATTGGGGCGCCAAAGCGTAACATTCATAAAGAAACGAAAATTCACAGAGCCACCTGCCCACCGGCCCACCAGCCCCCCTCTCCCATCCCGGCCAGTCGCACTCTTCCAAGTGAATGGCCGGAGGGGAAATGCCCTATCCCCCCCATACCCCCCTCTTGACAGCTTCTGGTTATTTTATTTTTTTGAATTTCAGAAGGGAATGAATGGCCAAGTTTTTGAAGTTTTTTTTCAGGTGGGGCGGGTAATATGATCCAAAAAGGGGGTGGGGGTGGGGTGGGTGGTTTGTTATCAAAGGATATATACAGAGAAAGAAAAGGATCTAAACTCTAAAGGTTAAACTCCAAAGATATGGTATATAGTTTTGCTCAAGATCTCTAAAGCTTTAAGAGGCCTACTATTTCTCTCAGTGTTTCAGGGGAAGGGAGTGGGGGTTGGGCCAATGGAGGCGCCTTAACGATAAGCATAAGCTCTGGTCTGTTTTGGCCTGGCTTTTTGGTCATAGACCTTATCTATGAGCCCGAAGTACTCATGGCTTACAAAACAATAAAAATCATAAAAGAGAAACGTGGAGGAAAGAAGGAAAGTAGTGGAATGGAGTGTGCGTGGTGGAGGTAGGGGTGTGAAAGGGGGAGGGGGAGGGGGTGGCGGTATAGGCCAAAAGAAACGTGGAAGTGGCAGAAATGCAGAAAACCGCAAATGCCCCCCAACGGGGCGACGCGCTTTGCTGGCTTTTGCGGTTTCCTCGTCTTCAGATCGGTTTGGCGTCTTGGCCAGGTACTAGTAGCTCTTGTTGTTGTTGTTTTTGATAAGATGATGGAAGAAGAAGCTGCAGAAGAATCTGAAGCTGCTCAAGAAGAACATGAGAAGCTAGCCAGCTGAGACAACACTATGAAAAATAGGTAGCTTGAATTTATAAAGTTTATCGAAGAACTATTCTTTAAAAATATTAAAAAAAAAAACTAAAGCTTTTCTCTCAGTGGATCTATCTTTCCTACCTTGAGATCCCTAGGGGAAAGCTATCTTACGCCTCATGGCACCTATACTAGGATAATAGTTATAGTAATACACCCTAGTTTCTGAACTATAATTTAATACAACTTACTCCAAATAGGCTAGACCGCTAGACCCACTATCAGTCAGATGACCTGGAAAGAATTTTTCTTTAAAAAATGATAAATCACATTTTTCGAATCGCAGCTTACTTCACCTATTCCCATTTGAATTGAAAATTTGTTGGCGCGCTCTTAGTGTTGGACAACGCGCCACGCATGCGCCGTGGCCAAGCGCCCTCTGGCGCTCGGAGTTCGAGTTGGACGCGTTAAGGTATTTTTTGTTTTTTTCGGCCGTCGATCAGAATCAGAAATCAGCAGAAAACGCGCGTCGCATTGTTGTCTCTGCTCGTGTCGTGCACCTCGTTCGCAATATAATTCCCTTCGCTCTGTTTTTACTTTGTTTTTCACCTTTAAATGTATTTATTTGTGTTTTTTTTTTTAACCGCAAACTTGGTGAAACATTAAATGTTTGCCAAACAAACTAAAGAAACTCGGCTCGGTATGTGGCTCTGGTTCGTGCATGAGTGTGTGTGTGCAGCTCACATTTTTGTGTCAGTGTAGTGGTGTGGAGTTGGCTTTTTGTTTTGCTGGCGTATTCCGGTTTTTTGGATGAAGGCAAAGAGTTGTGCGAAAACCATAGAAAAATACAAAAAGAAATCCCTTTTACAGTTATCTGGTGCAAATAATTAAACGGGGGTTTCCGTTTATACATATGTCGTCCCCCTTTTGTCCCCCCCTTTCAACTAGTTCTGGCTCTTTCGATCGTGAAGGGCGATCCCTTCTCTCTCTCTCCCACACATCCTGTTTTGATCTCGCTCTGGGGCTCAGCCCTCTCCCTTTTGCAGTGTTGCACAACTCCCGACTAAGGGCGCCATTCGAACTCGGAATCAAAAAAAAAAGCAAAAATTAACACTCGCCTGTTAGGTGAGCTGTGTCTTCGTCCCATTATCCAACTTATCGTTGTGCAAACAAGAAATTTCTTGAGCGAGGGGGGGCCGAGATAAAGCCAACGGCTCACCTGATAAAGCCCAAAAACCTAAAAAGTACCATGTCCATCAGCAATTAGGCTGAAAGTGTCCCTCAAATGTGAATTTAATGTGTGGCTGATGATGTCATGGCACAGTTTGCGTTTTAATTTAAGGCCCAGAGCAAAAAATAAACAAATTTGCGTGTCGAGCGTGGGCCGAGCTGTCAAAAAAGGCCAAAAAAGACGGCAAGAAATCAAAATCAGTCGAGGCCATAAATGGAAAATCAGCGAAAACTAAACGCCTAGACAGTGTTTGACAACACTGGCCAGGTCGCGTGTTGCAAGTGCAGCAGCGCTGCTGCGGTCAGCTGTCAATGTCATGTGTCGCCAACAGTGGCGTAGTCAAGGTTCTCTTACCAACCATTGGGGAGCTGCTCTGCTTGTTGGCGTGATCCCCTCCCCCTCTTGTGGTATGCCCCTGCCTCTGCTAGTTGCAGTTAGGCGCTGCCCTGCTCTCGATGTGACGCGTCGTGACATGAGTAATCCGGCATATGACAATGAGAAACTGGGAAAGAACACATGAACAAACAGGCACGCACACTGCAACGGGGCCCTTGTTGGGTTGAAAGTGGGAGGAGAGCAGGGTCCTCGCTAGTAGTAGTTGCTCTCTTACTCACAGGCCTATAAACATACAGCAAAGGTCACTTGAATAGGTCTTTGTCTTTAATAAAATAAATAAAAGTTAAGCTTGTTTATGATCAGATATCTGTTATCATTAGCTGGTACTTGGAATTATAGTTTACTTTTAGAAGGGCCCTGCTCCTATTTCGTTTACCTTCATTGTTTACCTGCCTTGTGGCGTACGTGTGACATGCTCGGGGACTTAACTGTCCGGCACCTCATCACTCCGTCTCCGGGTAGGTTCTCTGAATTTCAATTCCCCCATTTCCAGGGATAGCCTTGGGGCTAGGGGGAAGGAGGGAGAGGGTTTATTAATTGGAGGAGCGAGTGCGACATCTGAGATTGTGTTTGTGTTAGTGTGTGTTTGTTTTGGTTCTTTCACTCTCCCACTCTCTCTCTGGCTTTGCTCTCACCGCTCTCTCTCTCCCTTTTTGGCGACAACAATGCCAGGCGATTGTTTGGGGGGGCTGCACAAACGGGTTATATTGTTGTGGCAAGTCACCAGTTGCATGCAACATTAGCATCTGTGCTGTGCTGGGCTCTCCAGCTTTCCTCCAACCATCCATCCATTCATTCATTCATTCCGGCAGCAGCGGTCGTCTTGCATTACAAATTCCTATTTCGCACAAAAATTTCACTTTTTTTTCTTCGGCGGCGGCTGCTGCCACTTATTTGTTGAAACTTGAAGAAAGCAGAGCGAATTGAATTGATAAACCAGACGAAGCATTTGTGATAACAGACGCGTCCAACAAACATGTACAAATAGCTAACGTAGATACGCGATAAACGAGAAAACAAAAAGAAATACAAAAACATAAAAAAAATAAAACGATAAACACTGAGAGAAAAGTTGATGGTTCACATTCGGCCGGAAGAGAGGTAGCTCCAGCAAGATGATCAAACTGAAATCCTTGTTCCGCAGAGGACAGGGCACCTCCAGCTCCAACTCCTCCAACTCGTCGCACAAACAGCAGCAGCAGCACTCCAACAACAATCGCCAAAAGTCACAGTCCAGCACCTCCCTGAACACGGCCCATGAGCAGCAGCAGCAGCAGCAGCAACCCAATCACGGAGCAGCCACAACCAAGTTCTATTCCCAGGAGGCGGCCAGCTGCGAGAGGGGCGTGGATGTTGGCGATGAGGAGGCACTAAGGCTGACGAATCAACAGCAGCAACAGAGGCGACAACAGCAGCAGCAGCAACAGTTGCAGCCACAGCCAGTGCAGCAAAGCCAAACCTTACCCACAAAGAAATCCAAACTTAAAGGACAGAAGCAACCGAAACAATTGCCAACCAGCAATGCTACAGAGCAGCAGCAGCCGCAACAACAACAACCACCTCTGATGACTTCCCTGGCAGCCGCGCCACCTGTCCAGCCCGCCACTGGCAACAGCAACTCATCCAACAACAATAACAACGCATTGGCCGCCCTCCAAGATGGTGGCGCTGCTGCCGCCGCTGCAGCAGATTTCTATCAGCAACTAGCAGCAGCAGCCACCGCCTCCGCCTCAGCCTCAGCCACATCCTCCTCCGGAGGCAGTAGCCAGAATACGGATAGTCATAGTCCGGCGAATGCATTTCCGGCAGCAGCTGCCGCCGTTGCCGTAGCCGCCGTGGCAGCCAGTAGCTTTCAACAGCAACAGCAGCAACAACAACAGAAACAACTAATCAACAGCGAACAGCAACAACAGCAACTCTTAGAGGTGACTATTAGATAGTGTTACTATATTTAGTATATATATTAAGATCGATTGGCATTTGCAGGCTAACAACAAAATGCAGGAGCTGCACAAGCAGCTGGAGAGACTGGGAAGCGAGCACCTGCAGCTGGAGACACGCATCACGGAGCTGCTGCCATACCAAAGCGAGGTGGCCAGGCTGAAGGGCGATCTGGTTAAGATGCAGGTGCGCAGCAACAGGGTTAGGAAGGGGGGGGGCTAGAAACCACAAATAGCTGATGTGTTGTCACGGCTGATTGCTGCTGACTGATGTGATGGCCACCCCTGGCCGGCATTCCTACAGACCTACAGATCTTGGCTTTAAAGTAGTTTTAGTTTAGATATCCTTAAGAATAAGTAAGGCTCTCTAAAGAGAGTCCTTTTAGATCCTAGTACCTCTTAGTACTTGGACTACAGGGTACTCCCTGTCTGGATAACCATCCAAGTTGCGGGGGCGTTGCGCTTCGCTAGACTAGACCGACACGAACCGAAAACAAAACCATTGACATTCAATACCAAGTATAGGCGATGGGCTCGGGCTCGGGCTCGGGCTCCTTTAATTGACTAGAAATTGCTGGCTTTTGCGTCGTTAGGAACGGCTACTGATCAGTCTCTACTGTCTGTATTTCAGAGTCTACAGGAGAAGACCCAAATGGAGATCGGCAACCTGAAATACGAGAACGAATCTCTGCGCAATCGGCTGCGGGACGTTGTGAACTCGCCGCTGTCGGACGCGGAGAAGCACCAGATCATCCAAGACTCGCAGCGTTTGCACAGCTCGGCCCCAGCCTCAATAGCCCTGCCAAGTGTGAGTAGCCCATCTCTACCACTAACAGAATCCCCAATAATCACCAGCCTTTTGCAGACAAACGATGCCCAGGATGGTACTCCTTGCCTCACACCCGACTGGGATAAACAGTCGTCCTCCAGCGAGATCTCTGTAGCCTGCCTGCAGGACAAAATCATCCAGATGGAGGAGACGCACTACTCGACCAACGAGGAGCTGCAAGCCACGCTCCAGGAACTGGCCGATCTGCAGACCCAGCTGACGGACACCCAGACGGAGAACGAACGCCTGACCGAGGAGAAGGATGTGCTGTTCCAGTCCCTCTGCCGGCAGACCGAGAAGCTGAACGAGTCGCGCACTCAGATCAGTACGCTCCAGGAGCTGCTGCTGCGCGATACCAAGCAGGCGGCCACGGAGGTTAGTGCCTCGGAGCGGGAGCAGAAGCTGCTGGATCTGATCAAGACGTCGCAGGAGGAGCGCGAGGCCGTTCTGCTTAAGCAGGAGGAGATGGGCGCCGAGCTGGCGGAGCTCCGGCAGGCCAGGGAAGCTGGCCAGCAGGAGCAGCAGCGACAGCGCGAGAGGATCGCCCTGCTGGACTCCCAGCTGGACGCGGCCAATGCCGAGCGGAGGCAGGGCGAGGCCCAGTTCTCGCAGGCCAAGGACGAGATCTCGCAGAGGGCCATCGAGATCAGCCGGCTCAGCACTCTGCTGGAGAATGCCCGCTCCAAGATCGAGGAGCTGGAGGCCGACCTGTCGCGCGGCGACAAGACGGACCTGAGCGACGTCCTGGATGCGGCGCGCAAGGAGAAGGATGCCCTCGAGGAGCGAGTGGCCGAGCTGCAGGATCAGTGCTCGCGCAGCCAGGCCGAGCTGCGGCGTCTGAAGGAGCAGCTCTCCGGCGTCACCGAGGAGTGCAAGGTGGCCAAGAACAATGCCAAGTGCGCCGTCTCGCATCTTGAATACCGGCTGGAGCAGCTGCAGCGGGAGAAGGACAAGCTGGCCGGCGAGTGGCAGGTCCTGGAGGAGCGGGTGGCCGAACTGCAGGTGCAGTGCAAGTGCCACCAGGAGGACAAGGCCCAGCTGCAGTCACTGCTGGGAGAGACTCAGCGGCATCTCGGCGATGCCCAGGTGGCGTTGGGCGAAACGGAACGTCGCCTGGAGCAGGAGATCCAGCTGCGCCGCAAGGACGCCGAGGAGTGGCAACAGTTCCAGGCCGATCTCCTGATGACGGTGCGCGTGGCCAATGACTTCAAGACTGAGGCGCTCAGCGCCCGGGAGCAGCTGGTGCTCGACAACAAGACCCAGAAGGAGAAGATCCATCTCCTGGAGCAGCAGCTCGACAAGCTAACCAAGCAGCGTAGGTTATTCCCAGGGATTTGGATAATATTTTGAAACTATCATGGCTTCCTTTCTTTCAATTGCAGAACTGCAACCGTCCGAGACGCCGCAGTCGGTGCTGTCCACGGTCCAGCGGGAGATGGAGATGGCCACCAGGAGGAACAAGATGAACTTTAGTCGCCAGGACTCCCGGCTATCCGTGAAGACCCTCATCGAGAGCATTGAGAACAACAAAACGGTAAGGGATTGGAGGGCATGCTCCGAGCCACACTCTTTTAATCCTGGAATCTTAATCCTATACAGCAGGCCAAAGCGGATGAGGCAGAGTCTCACTACAGTTCCACGTCCAGCTTGAACAGCGGCACACCGGAACTGGGACACACACCCATCATTCTGCCTCCGTCCAGTGACTGGCACGAGAGCGTAAGTATTGGAATAGATTCCCCATGGTATCCTTAATAATGTCCTTTTTCGGAATCCATCTTTAGCTTCGCCTGCCTGTGCTGCAGAGCAGCAATCTGCACGTGAACGTGGGCAGTCCGGCGTTAGCCAGCAGCTCGGGAGGATCAGCTAGTAGCACTACCAAAGCCACATTGCCGCTGCGGGAACAGCAGTCGGCATCGTCAGCGCCGCACCAGCTGCAGCAGCAGACATCCCAGCAGAGCCAGAGTTCGCTCCAGACTCTGTCGCAGCCCTCCACACCGGCCACGCCCAGCAGTGCCGGCAGCAGCAGCAGCAGTGGCCTGCCCTTTGGCAATGTCTCAAAGTCCTTTATCGGCGGTAGGGATAAGGATATATTCCCAAACCATAGCCAGGATTAATATATATACTCTTTCCTTTTGGGCAGGTGAACGCAAGGATCCGTTGAATATGCTGGCCAAGAACGGCGGCTCGAAGCGCAACGCCCTGCTGAAGTGGTGCCAGAACAAGACCGTGGGCTATCGCAACATCGACATCACCAACTTCAGCTCCTCGTGGAACGATGGCCTGGCCTTCTGTGCCATTCTGCACTCGTATCTGCCCGATCGCATACCCTACGATCAGCTGAGTCCAGCCAACAAGAGGCGCAACTTTTCGTTGGCCTTTGCCGCCGCCGAATCCGTGGGCATTGGAACGACTTTGGTGGGTTCTTGGATCTCCGGGCCAATCCTATCCAGAATACTGACTCTTATCTGCCATTACAGAATATCAACGACATGTGCCAGATCGAAAGACCCGACTGGATGCAGGTCATGTCCTATGTGACGGCAATCTACAAGTACTTTGAGACCTAGATGATAATGGACATATGGATATGGATACAATACTGCCCACTGGTCCGGTCCAGCGGGTGGTCCAGCTTTTGTGTATATTGATGATTTTCCAGCCTGGACTGCAAGCGAATCTATTTTTTTTTTAAATCTTAACAGACTCCCCTCCTTTTAGTGCGTACGATGCGAGTTTTTTTTTTTTTTTGTTAAACCCCCATCCACTGATCCTCAAGTGTGTCCTACGTCCATGTTCTTGCCCGAGTGCAGTGGAGGAATCCGAAGCATTTTGTTTGTTTTTCCGGACGATCGATTTACCTATTAACTATCTCTAATAATTAAGTTTATTGTAAACGGAGCTGCTGGTGACCAGATGACCAGGTGGCCAGGTGGGAGACGAATCATCATCACAGTTTTCGGCTCGACTGCACTCGGGCGATGTAGCTTCTAGTTCTCTAGGGAGTTATGAGGAGAGTTTATTTTAAAATGACCACAGAGATATGATGATGATATGAAGCCTAACTATAGTGTTAATAACAGGAGATGGCCCGGACTAGCTTTAGCATATATACTATTAATTATTTATTCCAACTACAAAACAGATCACTATAAACTATAAAAACTATACAACTTTAAACTATAAATTGTATTTTTCTCAACGATTCATTCTACATACGATCCTACCATAAAAAACAAAATACAAAAAATGAAAATATTAAATCATTATTGGTGTTTCTTTTTTTTAATACCTCGGTTTAACTAGGCCTTCGGGGGGATTACCAAAGGGCGGGGGCGGGAGGAGGCTTTAAATTAAAAATTCTTTGGAAACTTTGTAATCAGACGCTCCTGAGCCGCTGCTTATTAAAATGGATCAATCTTCCCAAGCTCAGTGGCAACAAGGAAGTTAAGCCCAGCGGATGGAAAGGATATGCCATGAATGGTGATGGTGGTGGCTAGTGGGTGGTTGGGTGGTGGGTTGGGAAAACTCTCAAAATGGCGCTTCTTGAGCGTTGAAATTTCCCTCGAGTGGAGGTTGGAAAATTTCCCAAGGAGCTGAAAAGAGATGGCCAGCTTTCTTCTCTGTTGTTGTTGCGGTGGGCGGGATTCCGGACGTGGTTGGTTGAGATTTCAGTGGATGGTCGGATGTTGTTGCTGGGTGGTATGTGGGTGTGGCATGTGGCCAACTCAGCGGCGGAGCATTTAATTAAGTGCCCACGCCACGGGGGTGTTGAAAAGAAAAAAAAATAAATAAAAAATGGAAATTGCGTGGAAAACAGCATGCGATTTTTTTTTTAAGTTCCTTGTTTTTTTTTTTAATTTAAAACAAGCCGATGATTGATGTACTCGAGGCTAATGAGGAGAGGCATCCAAAGCCACGGGAGGATAAGGAAAATGATGCAGACATGTCCGGGCATTTAATAAGGATGCCCAGCTTTAGTTTACCAACCAAACTATATCTCCTCTAGAATTAATTTTAAAAGTGACTTGGCCTGAAATTATCCCCAAAAAAATATAAGCCTTTTTGGGACACTCCTGTTAACTCCTTCTCCAGTGCGTGCTGGTCACCGGGTCCGTTTCTTTAAGCCAAAGTCACGTAGTACCCGTAGGATATACTAAACTATATCACCCCCCAAGACCCCTCGGCCTTTCAGGACAAACGAAAAGTGCGGCTGTCAATTAGTCGGCTCCTTGTCCTCCTCGCCAGCCACTTCGTCCTCCGGCTCTCCTTAATGTCCGGCACATGTCGAAAATGAAATTAAACGCTGACGCATCATTTGCTGACCATCAGAGACTCACAAAAAAAAAACCAAATAAAATAAAAGGGAGGTGGCTGGGTGAGGGGGCCGGACGAATAAAGGAAAATGCTTAGTCATAAATCAAGAAATCGGCAAAAATAAATTTCAATGCGGCCAACATTTTAATATACAAAATAGTCGGACTTGACCAGGCCAAAGGAGAGAGCTTAAAGGCTGCACTGAAAGAAAATAATGGTTTATACTGGAAGCTTGAAGAATCTTAAGGTTAATTGGGAAATATTAAGGTACTACTATTAGGTTAGTATGGTAGTTAGGTAAGGATGGTATTGGGGAATATACTTTCTTTATAAGAAATTCTACCTATATGATATCTTAAAAAAAAATATTAATAAAAACAAATATTAATAAATATTAATCTCTATAATCTATATTAATATTAATATAGTAATATTCAATATTATCTATTTCTAGAGTTAGAGTTAAAACATCTATAGCATCTGGTTCATTTTAAGGGTATTTATAAGAAACTAGAATTGTTTTACAATATATAGACAATTCTTTATAAGACCTGAGTCCCACAGGATAAAAAAATCAGGATAAGCCATTATTATAGAGTTTTTATAACTATAACTAACTTTTAGATTCCAAAGGTTAGCATTTAAATAGGTTATTTTTTAGGAAAGGACTAGTAAAGTAGAGGGTACTATAATAGTATTTTTAAGAAAATCGTTATAAGAAATACTACCCATGTATAATCTTAAAAAAACTCTGAATGAAGCCATATTTTAATAGTCTTTTAATAAATAAACCTATACATTTCAGCATTCAAACACTTGGTATTTATTTAAAAAAGGTTCGAAATAGGGTTTTTTTTTAAACAAATATTTTTCCAAAAAGAAACTTTAATAAAAGACCATGAAAAATATTAAAAGTTAAAGATTAAAGAACTAAACCTTTAAGAAACCAGTAAAATTTATACCAAATAGAGTAATATTTTAACTTCTAAAAATCTAAAAGTTCTAATTTAATATTTTAATACCTTTCATAGATTTCTTCGCAGTGCATTTATTCACTCACTCATCCGGTCATTCATTCGGTGGCGTTGCAACTATAAAAATATTATCTATAGTTTCCACTTAAATGCACAGCGGCACTTACCGGACGCCGCTCGTCCTTTCTGCCCTCCTGCCCACCCCCTCGCCCATTACCACTACCACTACCAGTACTACTACTACACACACACACATGGATAAATCATAATGGTTAATGTGCACTCATAAATGGATAAGCCAGGCGGTATAGTGGGTGCATATGCTCCTTGGCGAGAAACAGAAGTCCGACCCACACGTGATGGTGGAATATGAATCCGATTATGAGTGCTGCGAAGTGCCCAGGGCGGAGTGGGTGGGCCAGGATCTGCTCCGGCCAGATTTATGAACGGATAGTGTCCTGGGTGGACATTGCTCATTCGGGTCAGGTCGTGTCAGCCGGGTGGCGGGGAATCGCTTTGTGTGCGTGTCATTTATGGGTCATTTGCCAGAGTTTCACAATGGAAACAAAGGACACCCAACCTGAACGGACAACAAGTGAGACTGGGGCAGCAAGGACGAAAAAAGGGGAATCAGAATGGGTTCAGAAAATATCATCAGAAAATATTGAAAAAAATCAAACATATATTTTATTCTCAGGTTTTGATGCAGATTTGTGGGGAATCGATCCACAAATCGATCAAGGTATTCCGTTTAGGAATCGGAAAAGAATTGGCAAAGATATACCCTTGACAAGAGACCGACATGGAAATCCAGCATTTTCATAGGGGTACCATCAGAAAATTTTGAAAAAAATCGAAAAAATATTTTATTCTCAGGTTTTGATGTAGATTTGCGGGGAATCGACCCACAAATCGATCAAAGTATTCCGTTTAGGAATCGGATAAGAATTGGCAAAGATATACCCTTGACAAGGGACCGACATGGAAATCCAGCATTTTCATAGGGGTACCATCAGAAAATTTTGAAAAAATCGAAAAAATATTTTACTCCTAGGTTTTGATGCAGATTTGCGGGGAATCGACCCACAAATCGATCAAGGTATTCCGTTTAGGAATCGGACAAGAATTGGCAAAGATATACCCTTGACAAGGGACCGACATGGAAATCCAGCATTTTCCTAGGGGTACCATCAGAAAATTTTGAAAAAATCGAAAAATATTTTACTCCTAGGTTTTGATGCAGATTTGTGGGGAATCGACCCACAAATCGATCAAGGTATTCCGTTTAGGAATCGGACAAGAATTGGCAAAGATATACCCTTGACAAGGGACCGACATGGAAATCCAGTATTTTCATAGGGGTACCATCAGAAAATTTTGAAAAAAATCGAAAAAATATTTTACTCCTAGGTTTTGATGCAGATTTGCGGGGAATCGACCCACAAATCGATCAAGGTATTCCGTTTAGGAATCGGATAAGAATTGGCAAAGATATACCCATGACAAGAGACCGACATGGAAATCCAGCATTTTCCTAGGGGTACCATCAGAAAATTTTGAAAAAATCGAAAAAATATTTTACTCCTAGGTTTTGATGCAGATTTGTGGGGAATCGACCCACAAATCGATCAAGGTATTCCGTTTAGGAATCGGATAAGAATTGGCAAAGATATACCCATGACAAGAGACCGACATGGAAATCCAGCATTTTCCTAGGGGTACCATCAGAAAATTTTGAAAAAAATCGAAAAAATATTTTACTCCTAGGATTTGATGCAGATTTGTGGGGAATCGACCCACAAATCGATCAAGGTATTCCGTTTAGGAATCGGATAAGAATTGGCAAAGATATACCCATGACAAGAGACCGACATGGAAATCCAGCATTTTCCTAGGGGTACCATCAGAAAATTTTGAAAAAAATCGAAAAAATATTTTACTCCTAGGTTTTGATGCAGATTTGCGGGGAATCGACCCACAAATCGATCAAGGTATTCCGTTTAGGAATCGGACAAGAATTGGCAAAGATATACCCTTGACAAGGGACCGACATGGAAATCCAGTATTTTCATAGGGGTACCATCAGAAAATTTTGAAAAAAATCGAAAAAATATTTTACTCCTAGGTTTTGATGCAGATTTGCGGGGAATCGACCCACAAATCGATCAAGGTATTCCGTTTAGGAATCGGATAAGAATTGGCAAAGATATACCCATGACAAGAGACCGACATGGAAATCCAGCATTTTCATGGGGGTACCTAGGGGTAGAAAATTTTGAAAAAAATCGAAAAAATATTTTATTCTCAGGTTTGGATGCAGATTTGTGGGGAATCGATCCACAAATCGATCAAGGTATTCCGTTTAGGAATCGGATAAGAATTGGCAAAGATATACCCATGACAAGAGACCGACATGGAAATCCAGCATTTTCCTAGGGGTACCATCAGAAAATTTTGAAAAAAATTGAAAAAATATTTTACTCCTAGGTTTTGATGCAGATTTGCGGGGAATCGACCCACAAATCGATCAAGGTATTCCGTTTAGGAATCGGATAAGAATTGGCAAAGATATACCCATGACAAGAGACCGACATGGAAATCCAGCATTTTCCTAGGGTTACCAAGGGGGTTTTGTGGGGAATCGATCCAAAAATCTTATAAAGCACTTCGCTAAAAGATCGGATGCAAATCGAAAAAGCTATACACACGTTACTCGAACAAAAAATAAAATTTCCAAGATTTTTAATATTTCCGGAAGTGTCGGAATCTCAAGACTGCTGCGAGATGCGATTCCCCACTTGTTCCACATTTCTGAAGCCGTGAGGGAAGACCACACGTAGGGGGGACACACATCCACCCACACATGGGCAGCAAAGTCGACTTCCTGTCAGAGTCGAATGTTAATTTGGAACTTTGGCTTCTTAGCGCTTCCGATGCCCGCAGGCAAATCCTGTTTACTGCCTGTCAACTTA